CTAACACACACAGAAGGGTAAAAAGCATCAAACAAACGCAGATACACACACAAGCAGATACACAGACACGTATCTATAAAGAAAAGAAAGAGAAATGTGTGTGTGTGTGTGTGTGTGTGTGTGTGTGTGTGTGTGTGTGTGTGTGTGTGTGTGTGTGTGTGTGTGTGTGTGTGTTTATACGTATATATGCACATATTGTCAAACAGGCATCTTATCAGAATATTAGATTTTACTTTTGCATTATCGTGCATGTTAGTAAGGAGAACAGAGAATTAGTGAATCACAAATCACGTCTACCTGTTTATATCTACGTATATACTTCTGACCATTTGTCTCACCTTTCCAGTCTAACCCCCCCCCCCTCTCTCTCTCTCTCTCTCTCTCTCTCTCTCTCTCTCTCTCTCTCTCTCTCTCTCTCTCTCTCTCTCTCTTTCTCTCGCTATTCCTCACCAATAGCCACTAGAATGAACGTGAATATCAATGTCAAGGAATGAAAGGAAGGAACAGATGAGACAATAAGTCATTCTTATCTCTTGCTGAAGTTCGGAAATTCCTTCGGACGTTTTTGAAAAGTGTATCACATCGTCTTTAAGACATCTTCCAGATTCGTGACTCTCTCTCTCTCTCTCTCTCTCTCTCTCTCTCTCTCTCTCTCTCTCTCTCTCTCTCTCTCTCTCTCTATCTATCTATCTATCTATCTATCTGTCTATCTCTCTCTCTCTCTCTCTCTCTCTCTCTCTCTACACATAGTAAAGTCATCATGCTGTCACTATCAATAGTAGTATATTGTTAACTAATATGTTACTATTCCTATCATAACGAATATAACTGTTATTGTTATTGCCGCAATGACAGTAGTTTCATTTATCCATAATCAGTATTGATGTTATTTTGGTATCAATTTCCCATTACACACTCTGGTATCACCATTACCATCATTATCATAATTACTACTACTGTTTGTCATTAATATTGTCTATTATAATAATAATCATATTTTTTATCACATATATAAGTTTCAGAGAGAGAGAGAGAGAGAGAGAGAGAGAGAGAGAGAGAGAGAGAGAGAGAGAGAGAGAGAGAGAGAGAGAGAGAGAGAGAGAATGAGAAATAGAGGAAGAGAGAGAAGGTGAGAGAAAGAGTGAGAGAAAGAGAGAGAGACAGAGAGAGACAGAGATAGAGAGACAAACAGACACATGCACAGACACACAGACAGAGGCAGAAAGGCAGACTGAGAGAAGGGAAAGGCATTTCTCTTTTCAAGGAAAAAAGAGAACTCCACTCTTCTCTTAATCTACCATTTTTGTACTTTCTCGAATTCTACAGCCTTCCGTTCTTATGATTATTATTACTATTATCATTGTTAATTGTTTTTATTTACTGACCGTAGAAATAGGGCTCCTGAGTTAACGTCCAAATGAACCTCTTCCTCAGGTGGTGGGCGGCGAGCGAGCCTGGGGGGGGAAGGAGGACGGGAATGGTCAGACTCCGAGAGGAAAAAATGGGATGCTTCGTTGCTAGGGCGGAAGAGGGAGGCTGGGGCAATGGTGAATGCGCTCTCTCTCTCTATCTATCTCTTTCTCTTGGTTTCATTCTCTCTCTCTCTGTCTGTCTCTCTCTCTCTCTCTCTCTCTCTCTCTCTCTCTCTCTCTCTCTCTCTCTCTCTCTCTCTCTCTCTCTCTCTCTCTCTCTCCCTCTCTCTCTGTCTGTCAGTGTTTTGGTGTCCCACTGCTGACACCAGTCTGTCAGTCTCCTTGCTGGTGTCCCCCAAAGGGGCTGTTCATGGAAACGCACGGACGTTCATTGAAGACGACAGCGAGAGCAGAGGTTGAAGAATACTTGTGTCGTTGCGCAGGGCAGAGGTTGACCCGCCTATTGTGGTGGCCCCACAGGAGGTCACTAGCGAAGGGGGCGTGACTAGGTCAGCACGGCGGCAAGGATGCGGGCACACCGCTGTGACTAGCGGTCCATAGCGGGAGCAATAGACCATCCAGACCGTTCGCCACATGTATCCACCCGTCGTCCTTGCTGTGCTCAGACAAGGACTAATATCACGCCCGAAGACTTAACATCCCGGCGGCCAACTGTCTGATTACCGGCCACTTATAACCTTCGCCCACGCCACCTTCTCCAATAAAGAGTGCAATCAGCCCGTGCGTTTCCCTGAACTAACAATGTAGGGGACCTCAACAAGAAACCCCTGACAGACTGGTAACAGCGATGGGATGTCCACAACACACGACACGCTCTCTCTCTCTCTCTCTTTCTCTTTCTCTCTCTCTCTCCCTCTCCCTCTCTCACTCTCTTTCTCTCCTCCTTGTGGTTTCTCTCTCTCGTTTTCTCTCTCGGTCTCTCTCTCTCTCTCTCTCTCTCTCTCTCTCTCTCTCTCTCTCTCTCTCTCTCTCTCTCTCTCTCTCTCTCTCTCTCTCTCTCTCTCTCTCTCTCTCTCTCTCTCTCTCTCTCTTTCCCTCACTCTTTCTCTCCCTCTTGCGGTTTCTCTCGGTTTCTCTCTTAATCACTCTCTTTGTCTCTCTTGCCCTTGTATTCTCCCTTCTTCTCCCTTTATTCTTATTGTTTAGACTCTTCGCCTTAATCTGTATTGTTTACTGATCAAAAGTGAAGTAGAGGTGTATGAAAGGATAAATAGATTATCAGGAAAGCAAGTTAAATAAATACATATTTGGAGAGATCTAGAATGAGAGAGAGAGAGAGAGGAGTGGACAATAGCTGATGATAATAACAATTGTCAAACCAGAAGAATGAAAAAAAATATAATAATAACCATAACGATAACAATTAATAAAAAAAACGTAAAAGATAATAATGATGTTAATGATGATGATAATGATAACGATAATTAACAATACCACTGACAACATTGACATTGCTAATAACGTAATAATTATTCTAACGGTTTTAGTGCTGAACCATATTAATGTTGACAAATGTAGAAAAGGTATGAATGAAAATGAATATCTTCACAATAAAAGGATGTATTTAACCAGTTTCGACTTTATATGTTTTTTCTGACACATATAAGTCGGTTAAACACATCACTTGTATTGTGAAGATATTCATTCTCATCCTTACCTTCTCTACATATATTAATGCTGATAACAACTGTGGTGTTGATAGAAATATCAAGACAGAAATAGCTATAAAAAATACTAATCAACAATCATGATAAGAATGAGATCGACTATCATTGACAATAATAGTAGGAGGAATAAAATAAATTGTAAAATCAGGAGCAGTGCAATAGTAGCAGTAGTAGAAGTAGTAATGGTAATAGTCCTAATGATGGTAGTAATGATGGTAGTAGTAATAGTAGTAGTGGTAGTAGTGGAAATAGTAGTAAAAGTAGTAATAGTAGTAGTAGTAGCAGTAATAGTAGTAGCAGTAACAGCAGCAGTAGTAATAATAACCTAAAAAAATAAATAAATAAATAACAATGAAAAGTATATCAGTGTATATTAATAAGAAATCTATTAACTAAAAAAGTATACCGATGATTATATTGATAATGAAAATGAAAAGCTGTATTAACGACTATACTGATAATGATTATATGAACGCACAAGGGGGGCCTAAAGTAAGTTGAAAGAGCGGCACTTCAACATCGCGATATAGTGAAGGAAAAAAAGCTTATAGGAATTTCCACTCCCCCCCCCTATTCTCCTTTCTGCGCTCTCCCTCTTTATACTGTTATGAACTCTCCATAGGTCTTCTTCTTCTTCTTTATATTTTTTTTCTTCTTTTCTTCTCCCTCTCTCTCTCTATCTATCTATCTATCTATCTAAATATCTGTCTGTCTATCTATCTATTTATCAATCTATCTCTATTTCTCTATCAATCTATCTCTTTTTCTATTCCTCTCTTTCTCTCTCTCTCTCTCTCTCTCTCTCTCTCTCTCTCTCTCTCTCTCTCTCTCTCTCTCTCTCTCTCTCTCTCTCTCTCTCTCTCTCTCTCTCTCTATCTCTCTCTATCTATCTATCTATCTATCTCTCACGTTCTCTCTTTCTCCCCCACCCTTTCTCTCTATCTATCTATTAGTCCATCTATCTATCAATTTCTAACAAACTCGAACCCAAGGAAACGCAACGAACGCAGATATTCACACGATCTGTGAACGTTAACCCTTACACGAATGAACAACAAGAGAGAGGAAGGCGAGGGTGGAAATGTCGCGAGACTTTGATTCTCTTCGAAACTTTCTTTGGGGGACTGAAGAAGGCGTTAAGGGAGTCGGCGATGCGTTTATTTCCATATTCGATGTATAAGTATCTGTACGATGAGGGTCATAATGATGTCAAAAGATGCGGGTACGTGTAAACTGGTTGAGGCTGGGATTTCTTATTTTTTGTGAAGGGGGGGTGGGGGTGGATTAGAGACCATATAATGTCTATAACAGTAATAATAACAATTCATGTCATCATTATCATCATCACAACGTCACCTTCATCCTCATCAGCATTATCTATATCATCATCATCAAGAACATCATCAACATATTCATGATATTAATTCTAACGACACTAGCAATAACAATACTCAGCTAGAGAACACATTAACAACAATAGATCAAAGGTAATTGTAAGTTGGTGTGTCAGATTAGGTGTCTGTCTGTGTGTGAGAATGTTAGTCGAAACAAGTTCATCATACAAAGAACTATTTCAACTCTTCTCGATTTTCTTTTTCTTTTATTTTCTTTTCTTTTTTGTCCTTTAATATAAGTGTGATGAGGATCGTGACTGAAGAAAGAATATATTGCGGTCTTTCTCAACGTCACAGGGGTACCAACATGACCCGTGCACTTATGAATACGTAACGAGATTGGGTCTTTTATCTTTTGCTTTCTCCAGCCTTCCTATTCCCTCTTTGCATAGACCGCTTTCCATTTCCTTTTTTTTCTTTTTTTTAATGATTCTATTATCACAAATCATCCATTCGATATTATGATATTGCCGTTATCTCTTCGGGATCTTATCTCTGACCTCTACCCTGGAGTCTCCTAGCCTTTCTGCCTATACTTACAGTCACTCCTCATTCACCTTATTTCCTCCCCTAAGTCGTTATACTGATAGAATCTTATCTTATACGCCTCTTTCCTCCCCTTTTATTTTTTTTCTTTTTATTTCTGTCAACTTCGCTTCTCGCTTCGTTCCCTCCCAAGAGCATTGCCCTCATTCTCCTCCACCTCCCATCCACCCTCCCCCTTCCCCACTTCCCACCCTCTCCCTTCCCCACTTCCCACCCTCTCCCTTCCCCACTTCCCACCCTCTCCCTTCCCCACTTCCCACCCTCTCCCTTCCCCACTTCCCACCCTCTCCCTTCCCTACTTCCCACTCTCTCCCTTCCCCACTTCCCACCCACCCCATACTCACCCCCACAGCTCTCTTTCTCCCCCCACCCCACCCCCACAGCTCCATCCACCATCCACCCTCTCGCTCCCCGACAAGTAAACTCGACCTGTACTTTCCCCCTTCCGCGTGATGCCTGTCGGAGGAGATCCCACGCCCACTGGATGCTGACGAGGAACCTTTTTTTAACGATTCGGCGACGTCGGAAGAGGTCTTTGGACGTCGCGGACAGTCCTCTCCGGCGCTAGTGATGGCAATATGGTTGATGATACGGCCGTTTGTCAGTACGGTTTACGACGTTAGTGTGCATCGACGCTTAGCACGATATTGCTACAACAACTGAGATTTTACCGGGAAAAGATCCATCATAGTTAACAGGGACCACGACAAACGTTGCCTTATTCCTTTGAGATGGAAACACCAGATATTGATGAATGTCGCCATTATTCCAGTTGTGGATTCACTGAAAAAGGAAGAAAGAGGGAGAGGGAGAGAGAAAGAGAACGGGGGAATGGGAAAAAAGAAAGAGTGGGAGGATAAGAAAGAGAAAGTGGGGGGTAGAATGGGAAATATATATACATATACATACAGATAGATAGATAGATAAAGCGAGAAAGAGTGAGAAAATGAGAGACTGAGAGAGTAACAGAAAGAGAGAATGAGAGAGTGACATTAAGAAAGAATGAGGAAAAGAGAGAAAGAAAGGGGAAGAGAAGAAGAGGGAGAGATAAGAGATGAAACGCCAACGCGGAGAAACGTGTAAACTTAATGAAACAGCCTCCGTCACATCTCATCTACAAATCCCTCGAGACAGAAACATCAAAATCACCCACCAAAGCAGTGACACGTATCACCTCCAAGGACACGGGAATATGACCCCTAAACCAAAGAGTTCACAAGGACGAGACTCCAACCCTCCACCCCCCCCCCGTTGACACGATCCCAGCAAGCCATCTTTACTAATTAACCTTAGCATTGTCTATGGGGGGGGAGTGACTCGTTTGAGGGGACCTTCATACGTCTTCTGCTTTAGATAAACCGTATGTATGCGTGCCTATTTAAATCATACGTCTACAGGTATATGGAGCTTTTCGTGATATCGCTCTTGTTGCAGTATAGGACAGGACAGTTTTTCGGTTTTGAAAAGGACAGGAGAAAACGTAGAATGATTTTTTTTTTTTTTTTTTTTTTTTTTGAAGGGGTTATCATTATTATCATTATTTTGTTTATTTATTTATATATATATATTTTTTTTTTGAAGGGGTTATCATTATTATCATTATTTTGTTTATTTATTTATTTTATTTTGTAGGGGTTATCATTATTATCATTATTTTGTGTATTTATTTCTATTTTTTTTTTTTGAAGGGGTTATCATTATTATCATTATTTTGTTTATTTATTTATTTTATTTTGAAGGGGTTATCATTATTATCATTATTTTGTTTATTTATTTCTTCTTCTTTTTTGAAGGGGTTATCATTATTATCATTATTTTGTTTATTTATTTATTTCTATTTTTTTTGAAGGGGTTATCATTATTATCATTATTTTGTTTATTTATTTCTAATTATCATGGATTTTTTTTTCCCCTTTAAACTTTCTTTGCGCTTGAGTTGAGCTTTTTATC